AGACAGACAGACAGACAGACAGACAGATAGATAGATAGATAGATAGACAGATAGATAGAGTTATCACAAATGTATGGTAAGTAATCCTATTAAATAAATAAGAAAATACATACATGAATGGTAACTGATCCCAAATGTATGTATGGTGATCGTATTTATTAAATAAATGAATATATAAATTTGATCCTGGATGCTGTCATACTGTCCTAGTTCTTTTTAAAACATGATTTGCATGCCTTGTTTTTCCGTGAAGGCAACGCCTACTCACAGTATAGTACTAATTCACTGGAAGTACCTGAGAACGACATTCACCTTCTTTAGAAAAATGATACTTTAGCATCTACCATGGACCAGAACGCTTCTGTAAACGGGACTCTGGAATCTGGGATCTGCCTACATGGAAACGCAGTGGAGCGGTACATGTACCCGACGGCTTACTCGCTGTTCTTCATCATTGGATTTCCAGCAAACTGTCTGTCCCTGTACGTGGCCTGGGTTCTGATGAAGAAGGGCAATAATTTGGCGGTTTATCTGATTAATTTGTCAGTCGGAGATCTGCTGTATATCCTAACTCTACCCATTTGGATCGTGATGGCACTCGGCTATGCGCTGAACGACAGTCTGTGCAGCATTATAGCGGTGGTCATGTTCAACAGCTTCTACGTGGGTTCAGGCTTTCTGTGCTGCATCTCTGTGGACCGATATTTAGCCATCGTGTTTCCGCTGCATTTCGCACGTGTGCGAGAGGTCAGAACCACCGTGTTGGTGAGCATCATCGTATGGCTGGTAGAGATCGTGCTTCATGTGGGTCTTCTAACCTACACAGAGGCGATCGGGAACTTTTCTGGCAGTCGTATGTGCGAGGAGCCGATGATAATGAGTGCCGCCGCCGCAAACGTGGCCATCACACGTACGGTCCTGGGATTTCTGGTTCCTGTGCTCATTATGATCTTCTGCTTCGAGGAGATCATCAGGGCGCTGAAGAAAAGCACATCCACTGTGGTCAGCGAACGGAGGAAGATTTGCCGCCTTCTCTTCTCTCTCCTTTTCACCTACTTGTTGGCTTTTACGCCCTTCCAGGTGGTGATGTTCATCAGAGGACTGCTGGAGCCTGGAAACTGCAGCGTCGCGCACAATCTCAGGGACGTTTACATGGTTTTTGTGGCCACAACGACAATAAACAGCGTTTTAGACCCCATCCTTTATTGCCTCATAAGTGACAGTGCCAAAAATGAAATGAAAAGACTTTTTAAGCTCTGTGAGGAGCAATTCAGTAAGATTTACTCATCTGTGATGAAAGACTGACATTCTGAATGTTATTAACAGACTGAATATGTTTCTCATGATCCTTAGCATGTAAAATCAGACTTGGAATTATAGTCAGATTTTTTATTTTTTTTTTATGGAACAGTTTACTGAACCTTTTTTGAGTATCATATTTGATACATCAGGCTTTTATGGCTCATATAACATGATATTTTTATAATAGACTATGGAGGAAAAAACTGCTTAACTTTATTTCAGAGACTCAAACTGAGCAAAATATGCAATTTGGTGTAATTTATATGATAAAAAAAAATTATAATGCTTGTAATGTAAATCAATGAGATCTGACAGTATAGTGGATACTTACATAAAATTATATAAATATCAGTTGTCACTCTATATCTCCAGTAATCTGTCTCAGTAAGATGAGATTGAAATGATCCAAACATATAATGCAATGCAGTGATGATTGAGAGATGAACAAATAAACGCTCCTCAAAAGATCCTGATGATCAGATTTGAGACGCACTGATTTTTCTAAAAGCTGCTTCAGTCCAGTAAGTGTTTTCTGTGAAGAAGAGTCGATATTGATAATCATCTCGATAAATAAAGTTTAAAGGCAGATTTTTGCTCCTAAGTGAAAGTTGTAGAAACCAGACCATTAAATGTGGTTTTAAGCTATTCTTTATGGTCAGAACATGACAAACACTTCAGGTTTTTTAATTCTTTACACTTTTCCAGTCATTTTTCCTTAACAAAATAAATGTCAATATAGAGAAATTAATTTCTTAGTTTCTGCATGTTCTAATGAGGGATATTGTTTCAGATCATGTAACAGGTTTGTGTTCCTGACTTTGATGACTCATATCTTCAGCACAGTTTGCAGTGCAGCCTGTAATATTAATAATACTAAATTGTTTTGTCTCTTAGAAATACACATTTGACAGTAGCTTGAGTGGACAGTAGTAGTGGCTTGAGTTTGGATGCAATGTAAATTTATGTTCATGATCATAAACAGTAACATCTGTAAAATTGTAACATCCCAATTTTTCTATGGTGAAATGCTCATGCTCCAGCATAACAAGTTTAGTTATGCGTCCACTGTATAAGTAATATCACTTAATACATAAACAAATCTGTACTCCTGCAGTAGCATGAAGCGTCTTCATTGATAACTGAGCACCAACAGATTTGGTCAGAGGTTTTGCGTCTGTCTGGCAAACATCATCCCTTGTGTTGCTGCTCTGTTCTGATGTGCTGGCCTTTGCAAATAAACATTCCACTATTAGTACAAGCCTGTTATCTTTACAGAAAACATACTCGGTTTAAGTCAGTCATCTGATTGTACTGCATTTATGAATTACACAGATGGGGAGCACGGCGCGATAAAAATAACGACACAGCTGGTCTCACGGTGTAGCTTTAGCAAAATTAGCCTTAGAGAGTGCCAAGAAGCTCTTTCAGAAAGGCAATTTAGAAAACAAAATATGACTCCTATGTCCGTTGGTGCATCCCGAAACACAACACTTGTAATGCCTCTTTGGCGCTGACATTGTGTCTCCAGCAGCTACAGCAAGAAAACAGTAATGGCGGACTGCTGCTGCTGCTCACTCAGGGCGGGATCTATGCTAATAAGGCAGAGAGCGTCACAAATTGGCGGGACTTTTTCCAAATCTGGAACCGCTCGTTTTTTATCATTATAGGCTGGTTGTTTTCACACACTGCGGCCACACAACTGTGTTGTGTTGACTGACTGAGTGACAGAACAGACATCAGCACTCCATCATAATCACAGCACATCCCTCCACCCTGTACCTTTATAGCACATCTGCTTGGGGAAGTTGTGCCTGTATTTCTGTCCTTTATTGAAAACCAAGTGCAAATTCAACACACACACACACACACTCTCTTGTGATATTGAAGTTGGCAGAGGGACTAAACCGATCCTACTGCTGTGATCTTCTCTCTCCTTTAATCAGCTCTGGTTCTCTTTCTCTCTGTGTGTGTTTCGCATCAGACTCTCAGTGGCAGTTTGCGTTCAGTGTGAAGTTTTACCCTCCGGACCCGTCCCAGCTGACTGAGGACATCACGAGGTACAGAAGCCCCACGCTGACACCTGCTCGTCTCCACCAGCCGCATGTTTGCTGCTTCATCTGTTGGTCACTCTGAAAGGCTGCGGGTGCCGGTGTGTGTGTGTGGCGTCTCATGGTTTCTCTCCTGGTCTCTGCAGGTATCTGCTGTGCCTCCAGCTGAGGCAGGACATCGCGTCAGGCCGGCTGCCCTGCTCCTTCGTCACACACGCTCTCCTGGGCTCCTACACCCTGCAGGCGGAGCTCGGGGACCACGACCCCGAGGAGCATCGTCTGGACTACATCTCAGACTTCCAGTTCGCCCCAAACCAGACCAAGGAGCTGGAGGAGAAGGTGGTGGAGCTGCACAAGTCCCACAGGTCTGACAGCAGGCATCCCTAACATGATCAAATTTAACATCATAAAGTATCGCAGAAGTCTTCGTTGTCATTTTAAGAGGTATTAAATTTAGGGACAGAACAACAGGAATCACAATACAGCTTAATGTGATGATTAAAGTTCAAATGGGCTGTGATTTCATTAATTAAATGTGAGTGCTGTGTGTTCGAAGTCGAAACGTGGCACTGTTTCTACAGGCCTGCAGTTTCAGAGCAGTTTGCAATCAATGAATAATACACAGTTGTGCCAAGCGTTTGCTTATGATCTACTGTTGATGAATTATGACAGCGTTTACTTCATCGTGTTGTGGATGGTTGTGAGATGCCTATTTGATCCCCTTCATCTGTTTGAATAACACACAGACATTTCCCAGTATATTTTGGGCTTGTTTATTATTAAAAGTCTTGCATTATGCGTTTTCTTTCTGGATATTATTATTTGGGTTACACAAAAAACTGTATCTGGCATTTAATTTAACCCTGTAATAGAAAGGAAATACCAAGAACATTATTTAACATATTAAATATGTAGATTTCACTAGTATCGGCAAAATAATCTGTTTGTTGCCTTTCTTTAAACATATTATTATTATTATTATTTCAGACAAATCCAATATCACTCAACCAGTATTTTGTATGTAATTTTATATTAGTACACCGATTTCAATACATATGTATATATTGAATACTAAAAATGCAGCTGTGGTTTCTAGGGGTTTGTATGAAAAACAGTAGTCTAAATACATTTAGTATAAATGCATAAACGCTATAACTTGATCACAAAAAAAAACAGCGGATCAATGCTTCAAATGAGCAGCGCTGATTCCTTCCGCTTTTGGCGCGTAAACATTATATTGAATATTTATCAAACTCTTGTTATCATTTTATCAAGGAAAATTATATTGCGATAATTATCGTTTTTTCCACCAGCCCTATCTGGAAATATTACTAACAATATCAAAGTTATTCTGACGTTTACTTGATAAAAATCAGTAAAGGTTTGACAGCAGAAAGACAAGTGATTATAGTAAAACAATAAAAAAAAAAAAAATCAACTCTTGAAATTAATGTTAACTGAAATAAAATCAACAACAACAAAAAAAACTTGGCAAAAAAAATAGTTGCCAACATTTTTTCATTTAGTTTGACTTGATGTACTAACATTTAATTCAATAAAAGCTATACAGACATTAAAAAATGCAACAAAACCACAACAAAATGACTGACTCTTTAAAATTAAAATTAAAATAGAAAATATAATAAGAAACAAATTTTGAATATTAATAAATTATAATCGTCTAAATACTAAAAACTAAAATAACACTTGTATGAGATGCAAAGTCCAGAGCACACGAAAGCATATTGCAGTCAAAATTAAAATGTTTGCAAGTGCAGTTTACATTTGCTAAACAGTAATTTAAAATAAGCATTTTGCCCCAAAGTGTCCAGAATTTGTAGATTTTAGCCCAGATTTGAGCTCATCACTAATGATGAAGACTCTTGCTCATGTCTTCATCATCTGTCTGTCTAGTGTTTCATCATTTCTCAGATGAATTTCTCAGTCATGCTTGGATATCAGCATGGACTCGTCATGTGACAATCTCACCATCCTCAAAAACTACAAAACTACACAGTCAAAGAAAATCTGACCCACACAACATGAACAGCCTTCAGTTTTCACCTGCATTTTGTGTTGACATCAGAGTGTTTCTTATTGTGAAGTATTGGCTGCCAAAGCCTCACCATCTAGAAACATCTAGAAACCAAACTCTCAAACTAATGAGACAACGTGTTTTTCAAAAGAAATCGACCAGATCTTGAACACATCTCATTTGACTGGATGTCGATCACAAATCTAGATCATGTCTGATGGAGTCTCAAATTTTTCATTGTCTTTCATTATTGTGGCTCATTTCAGCCTTCTACACATTCATCTCTGAATGATGAACAGCATGAGCTAGTGTTGACTGACTGAGTGACAGAACAGACATCAGCACTCCATCATAATCACAGCACATCCCTCCACCCTGTACCTTTATAGCACATCTGCTTGGGGAAGTTGTGCCTGTATTTCTGTCCTTTATTGAAAACCAAGTGCAAATTCAAAAGAAGCACACACACAAACTCTATCTCTCACACACACACACACACACACACACACTCACACACACACACTCTCTTGTGATATTGAAGTTGGCAGAGGGACTAAACCGATCCTACTGCTGTGATCTTCTCTCTCCTTTAATCAGCTCTGGTTCTCTTTCTCTCTGTGTGTGTTTCGCATCAGACTCTCAGTGGCAGTTTGCGTTCAGTGTGAAGTTTTACCCTCCGGACCCGTCCCAGCTGACTGAGGACATCACGAGGTACAGAAGCCCCACGCTGACACCTGCTCGTCTCCACCAGCCGCATGTTTGCTGCTTCATCTGTTGGTCACTCTGAAAGGCTGCGGGTGCCGGTGTGTGTGTGTGGCGTCTCATGGTTTCTCTCCTGGTCTCTGCAGGTATCTGCTGTGCCTCCAGCTGAGGCAGGACATCGCGTCGGGCCGGCTGCCCTGCTCCTTCGTCACACACGCTCTCCTGGGCTCCTACACCCTGCAGGCGGAGCTCGGGGACCACGACCCCGAGGAGCATCGTCTGGACTACATCTCAGACTTCCAGTTCGCCCCAAACCAGACCAAGGAGCTGGAGGAGAAGGTGGTGGAGCTGCACAAGTCCCACAGGTCTGACAGCAGGCATCCCTAACATGATCAAATTTAACATCATAAAGTATCGCAGAAGTCTTCGTTGTCATTTTAAGAGGTATTAAATTTAGGGACAGAACAACAGGAATCACAATACAGCTTAATGTGATGATTAAAGTTCAAATGGGCTGTGATTTCATTAATTAAATGTGAGTGCTGTGTGTTCGAAGTCGAAACGTGGCACTGTTTCTACAGGCCTGCAGTTTCAGAGCAGTTTGCAATCAATGAATAATACACAGTTGTGCCAAGCGTTTGCTTATGATCTATCTTTGGTGAATTATGACAGCGTTTACTTTATCGTGTTGTGGATGGTTGTGAGATGCCTATTTGATCCCCCTCATCTGTTTGAATAACACACAGACATTTCCCAGTATATTTTGGGCTTGTTTATTATTAAAAGTCTTGCATTATGCGTTTTCTTTCTGGATATTATTATTTGGGTTACACAAAAAACTGTATCTGGCATTTAATTTAACCCTGTAATAGAAAGGAAATACCAAGAACATTATTTAACATATTAAATATGTAGATTTCACTAGTATCGGCAAAATAATCTGTTTGTTGCCTTTCTTTAAACATATTATTATTATTATTATTTCAGACAAATCCAATATCACTCAACCAGTATTTTGTATGTAATTTTATATTAGTACACCGATTTCAATACATATGTATATATTGAATAAAAAATGTCTTGAGTATTTAATCTCGTAGTTACCCTATGTGTGCTGCAGCCTGTTTAATTAAGCAGAATTTTAGTGTCCTGTAGGGACAACATTAATTTGTGCAGGTCTTTAAAAAGGTCATACAATTTTCATGTTAAAAACCATTTTTAAATGTAAAGTAATAACTGGGCACGCATTGATTGTGACGTCACTAGTGGCATCATGATGCAGCTTGGCAGCTCTGATCCAGTTAGGCGTGTGAGAGTCAAATCTGGCTCAACAGCAGGAATATTCGTCCACGTGTAGTTCTGGAGGAACCCGGCTTCCGTCTGATTGATTCACACTAATGTGGGGCTCACATGAGTTCTTCTGACTTCAGTTCCTGCATTAAAAGAGCTGAATGTCAGTGAAACTCAAAGCCCAAGGTGTGTGATGATGATCAGTGCCAGGTCTGTGAAGGTCCCTGAGATGAGTCCTGATAACACCTGTCTCATATCTCCTCCAGGGGAATGACTCCAGCCCAATCAGATGCCCAGTTTCTGGAAAATGCCAAGAAGCTGTCCATGTACGGTGTAGACCTGCATCACGCCAAGGTAGTACATCTCCAGATCTCACCATCTGCTTGCAGACTCATTTTTCAGGAAGTCTCTGTACTCATCAGTCCATAGCTGTTTATGGTCACTAGCAGACCACTTCTCATGAAGCAGCGAGAGCGCGCTGGAGTCTGGGAAAAATATTCTGTTGCCATTTTTAAAGCTTCACAGGAACATCAGCTCTCCAGCGCTTCTCCCTGCGGGACTGATAGCAGTCTCTAGTCCAAACTGTGTGTCTGTGTCTTTCTGAAGACTGAAGGTGAAGCTTGTGATATTCAGTTAGCTTCAGCTCAGCCCGGAGAATCTCACGACCTTTAAGGACTGACACATGGTGCTGTATTAGACAGGGTTATTATCGCTAACTAAAACCAAAACCATGAAAAAAACCTTCATTACTTGAAATAAACTGAGGTAAAATAAGATAAATAAAACCATAAACGAATGTGTGTATAAATATATATATACATATAAATTGCAATTAGTTTAACATGATGTACTAAAATTAATACAAATAATAAAACTACTTTGACATATTCGAAAAAACAAAAACGAATAAAAATGAACTACAATTAAAATGAAAACGGAAAAATAAAAATAAAATGCTAAATATTAATAAAAATTCATACAAATATCATGAACTTTAAGGACTGACTGATGGTGTATTAGCCAGTTATTATAGTTAAATACAACTAAAAGCATGAAAAACACCTTTCATTAGTTGAAACATAATAAACTTAAACTGAAATTAAACATTATTTAATTTTCATTTAGTTTTAAGTTGATATACTAAAATTACTGAAAATTAAACTGAAATAAAAAATAATAAACTAAGACTTATTTAAAAAAAAACCTAATAAAAATTAAAAAAACAACACAATTACTAACATATACAATTCTAAATATTAATAAACAAAATATAATAGTACATAAATGGTACTAAAATAACACTTGTATTAGTCTAGTTCTGTCTGTCAGGGAATGTTGTAAATGGCAAATCACACTCTAAAGGTAGTCTTCTGTTCCTGTATAATGTTCACACTAAGGTTGTGTGCAGCCTAGTCCTGTTTTTTCTTAAATCGCTCACATTTACAGCACACAATTGTGATCAAGAAAATGTCACAATGCAGAAAACATCTAAATGTTTCTCCATATAGAACCCCATTGTCTTTACACACAAATGATTTCTTATTTTTCTGGACATGTTAACGTGTTTTTGTCCCGTGAATCTCTACAGGCTGAGGCTCAGCCGCACCTCGCCCGCTCTCCTCCGGGGGTCAGAGTTCACTGGAGGCCTGCGGCTTTCAGCACTTACTGATGCGCTGATGTGTGAGAGATCAGTGAGAGCTGTGTTAGTGTTAAAAGCCTCTCGTGGCGACAGATAGTCTGAGTTCAATCTTCTATCGGCGCTATTGATTCCTCTCAGAGCTCACAGACGGATCAATAATCGGTGCTCCACGGCCCAAAAGCCCCGGCAATAAAGATCCATTTAGGACGTTACATAAACACATTCAGATAAGTGCTGCAGTGGCAGGAGTCAGTGCCATGATGGATGTGATTTGTAATTATATATAGTTTGAAGTGATTTATAGTGATTGTGCGTAACATCAGGTGCCAGTTTCTTCTCTGAAGGCCTCGGGAACACTGACCTGTTTTACTTCCAGTGTTATTTTAGAACTGAGCAACGAGTCAGAGTTATTGGAGAAATGGATCAGTCCTAACCCTCTGATTCTCCTCATTTGAGAGTCACACTTGTGATCTTCAGTCACCTAAAATTTTTAACTTATTTTCTAAATAATAAAAATTATTTTTAATTTAAATGTTTTTAATTTTGTATTTTGAGATAATTTCATGGTACTAATGAATATTTATGCAATAATTATGATGAATTTCTTCTCATTGAAAATAATACAAACTTAAAAAAAATATATTTTTATATTTCTTTTCAATCAATGCAGTATTTCATGTTAAAATAGTGTCAATGCCTTTAAAATCAAATTTTTTAAGCCTGATTAGTGCCATCTGGTGGGAGTAAAATAAGAAAAACATCTGCAAATCCATGGTTTAGCCCATATATTCCTATATAGTTCCTATATAAAAGGCCTATAAACTCTCTAATTGTTTTTAGACATAAAAACTTATTTTTATTAAATTGTGGGTTTAGATATATATTTAGACATTCTCAAAGACAACTTTTTGTAAAGGTTTAGATTTTTTTTTTTTAATGTTGATTTGAAGCGTCAGTTTTTGAATTATTTTTACTACAGTCAAACCTGAACATCTATAAAAATGTAACAAAAATGAACAAGAATGTTTTATTAGAGCTTAATTCTTCTGCGTCTGATCTGATTGTGGCAGATTTGTTTCAGATTCTCTGTTTTTGTCGATTTCCCATTCATTTCCTATGGTCGGTCATTTTTGACCGAAGACCACAAGTGTGACAATTTTTTTTTTTTTTCCACCCCTTTAAAACAGACTAAACCAGTGTTTCCTGAAGCTGTCAGGGCAAAACACAACATGATCACATCTAACCATTCACACACAATCAAGTTTTGATTTTATTTGCATGTGACGGAAGGCTGTCTGAATGACATAATTAGTTTATGGCTTAAAATATCCCGACACTATCCAGATCTGAAATGCGTGTTGATGCTGGTGTCTCAAAGATCTGAGAGGAGAGTGACTGCCTTTGTTTTTCTACTAGTTATTCAGATTCACTCAGCTTTTACTGATGTGTGAGCAGATCTTGTGCTGGAAGTGGATGTGAATGTTTTTCATGTCCTCTCTTTTCCCAGGACTCTGAGGGAGTGGATATCATGCTGGGAGTGTGTGCAAACGGTTTGTTAATCTATAAGGATCGTCTGCGGATAAACCGCTTTGCTTGGCCCAAAATCCTCAAGATCTCTTACAAACGCAGTAACTTCTACATCAAGATCAGGCCGGGAGAGGTACGACTGAGCAAAAAACTGAGTCTGAGGCTGATTACAGTCTCTGTGTCTGTAATGCTGATATTGATAAGGTGATTTATTTGTGTGTCTCAGGCCGAGCAGTTTGAGAGCACTGTCGGCTTCAAGCTGCCCAACCACCGGGCCGCCAAAAGAGTTTGGAAAGTCTGTGTTGAACACCACACCTTCTTCAGGTAAACATATCAGCAATACAACAGAGTTTTTGGAGATTTGAGGGGCTTCAGGTGGGTGCTGCCTCACAGGACCTGAATCTATCCTGTGT